CAATGAGCAAAGACATCAAGTAGCCCCGGCATCACTGTACCTTCCAAGCATCTCCCAGCACTAGTCAAGTGCCTTTGCTAAATGCTCATGGAGCCATGTGGTTATTATCAACATTTCTGTGACTGGTTAATGTTTCTTTCCTCTAAAAGGCTACAAGTCTCCGTGAGGGCAAGGACCATATTCAGCTTTACTCAATCTGTTCTCAGCATTCAGCACAATTCCTGGAACACCATAAATAAAAAAAAAAAAAAAAAAAAAAGTTAAGTGACTCTAGGCCTAGTGGTATACACCCTTAATCTCAGCATTCAAAGCGCAGAGGTTGGTGAATTTCTGTGAGTCCAACACCAGCCTGGTCTACATAGTGAGTTCCATTGACAGCCAGGGCTACCTAGAGAGACCAGTCTCAAAATAAATTATTAAGTGAAACAGTGGTAAAATTCCCAGTTAATATTGTGAATAATCATTACTGCTTTGGATTGAACCCTACCGAGCACATCATGCTGAAATCCTGGGTGCCTCTAAACATGGAGATTCTATTGGACATGGGGCTGCTGCAGGTGTAACTCAGTAAATTCAGATGAGACATACTAGACATGAATCTACCATCGCCAGTGTCCTCGGAAGACACTGGCAGAGACGGAGATTGGGGGGATGGCTGCACACCAAGGATCAGGGACTAAATTTCACCGTCTGCAGTACTGTGTCACAGGGAGCTTGGGTTTGCTGGTCTCTCATTTTCAGACGTAGCCCCCAGGCCTGAAAATTCACTAATGTCTACTGCTGAGATCCCTAGTTTCTCCATGGCAACCTAAGACACTAATGCCAGCACCAATGCTGAGGTAGAGCTTTGAATAGGAATGCCCCCGCCCCAGATGCTCATGTTTAAATGCTTGGTTCCCCAGTCGGTTAGGAGGTGTGGTCTTGATGGAGGTGTGACACTGGGGGGGTAAGCTTTGAGGTTTCAGGGGCCAAGCCCAGTGGCCCCTCCACCCCTGCCTCCAACCTGAGGATAAGATGGAAGCTCTCAGCTACTGCCCCAGCACCATACCAGCCTGCCTGCTGCTACACTTGCCACCATGATGGTCAAGGACTCACCCTCCGAAACCAGAAGCTGCCACTTAAATGACTTCTATAAATTGCCTTGTTCATGGTGTCTCTTTACAACAATAGAAAAGTAATTAAGACATGCCATGCTTTGTGTCATTCTAAAGTTATGCATAGTACCTTTATGTGCCTATTTGTACCTTTTTTTCACTGTTCTCAACAGTTCCGATCTACATAAACTACTGCATCAATAGCTTTCTTATTTTCCCCATTTCTCATGGTTCTCTTCCTGGCAACGAATAAGCTCTATTTAATAATTCACTAACAAAATTAACAACAGAAAGTATTAGTGAGTCAAGACTTAAATGAGCTACATGTTCATATTCAACCATTTTGACATTTCAGACCTTAATAAAATGAACTGTTCTGTGTGTGCACATGTACATGTGTGTGTGCTCATGGCCTGAGATTGATGTTGGCTGTCATCTTCAATTGCTCATCTTTCAAGACAGTCTCTCCATGAATGTGGAGCTTGCCAATTTGGCTAGACTAGTCACCCAGCAAGTCCCTGTCTCTACCTCCTGAGTGCTAAGATAACACAAGTGTGTCACCATGCCTTGCTTTCTTATGTGGGTTCTGGGAATCACATGTGGGTTTTAATGGTTATTCACTAAGCATTTTATCAACTGAATCATCTCCCCAGCCCCTATAATATGTATTTTAAAACTGAGGGCATGAATTTACCTTTCATCTGTGATATAGTAGGGAATAGGGAAGAATTCTAGTTTGAGATTAGATGGGTGGCTCACAGGTTAATAACATGTACTGCTCTTCAGGAGGACCCAGGTTCAATTCCCAGCACCCACACTGCACAGCTCACAATTGCCTGTAACTACAGCTTCAAGGAATATGATGTCCTCATGTGTGCATCCTCTCTCTCTCTCTCTCTCTCTCTCTCTCTCTCTCTCTCTCTCTCTCTCTCACCTACCCACACACACACATACAAATCTCAAAAATTTTATTTTTGTCTATCTTGACACTTCAGAGATGTCAGTTTTTAGTTCAGCAATGCAACCCGATTTACTAAATCAGATACATTTGTGATTTCAGAAGAAAAATCTTCCACAATTACCAAATTTCCTCATGAGGTAGAAAAGACTCTGTTTTTTATAAATATATAAAAAACTTAAAACAAAGTATCCCATAGTCAGGGTATACTGCTCAGGAACAATCTGCAAGGCAAGTGGCTGAGGGAGGGCCATGGCTTACTGTCCCTGCCAGTGCCATCACCTCATGCTGGATTATGCATATGCTTCCTGAAATCCAGGACACTGTTGACATGATCATGGAAACTCTCAGCGGTCCAGGCAAGACAAGTGAAAACACGTTCATGAAGAAATGTGACAGAACAGTTAAGACTCGAGTATTTCCACAAACTCAGAAAAGGCACAGCTGATGATGGGACCGGGTATTGCATTAACTTTGGGGGCCAATGCTGTCAGGAAGGTTGTCACTATTCATACCGGGAGAAGACAACGAAGGGAAAGGGCCAATCCAAAAGGCCTCGGGCAATAGAAGAGTGGACCTTCCAACTCAATTAAGTGAAGGTCTGGCTGGGAGAAAGTAGAAAACACAGTTGTGATGCACACTTGGAACCCCAGCACTCAAGAGGTGCAGGGCAGAGATGCTGGCTTTCCCTCCACCCTACCTCCTGGCCCACAAGCTACATCCCAGTAGTGATAACCACAGGAAAACCTGGTAACCCTGACACACACAGCCCTGTCAGGATGACCATGGAAAGGCAGACACTGGAAAGAGGAAAAAGTTGTGACAGGGAAGGGTGGTGGGCAAATGACCAACTCCCCAGGGCCAAGAAATGAACAGAAAAGAAACTGGAATGGGAAAAGGAAGAATGTGAAATAACACGTGATCTCAGACATAAGGCAATAAGGAATTAGTAGGCAGAGCACCAGACATACCAAAGGTATTAATCCCTGCAGGCTGTACACAGGGGCAGGTAGATCTGTGTGAGTTCTAGACCAGCCTGGCCTCTGTATCCAGCTCTAGGACAGCCAAGGCTACAAAACAATTTTTTTTTAAAAAAAAAAATCAATTGACAGATATCAATAATCTTAAATAGTCCATGATTCTTATTGTGGTAAAATACCTATGAAATATTTCATTTTAGCCATTTGTTAAGTGTGCTGTTCATTAGTATTCACAATGTGTGCAGCCAGCACTTCTATCACTGGAAAAGGAAACATTTCTATCACTGGAAAAGGAAACTCCATGCCCATTAAGCTGTCACTCTCCAGCCCTCCGTCTTCCTCAGCTGATGGATACCAATCTTCTGTCTCCAGGTCAATGGACTTTTTATTAATAAATTGGAATGCAGGGTACTTTGCAGTCCTGAGGCCTCTTTAGCTGAATCTCAGCTTATGAGGCAAGCCTGTGACAACAGTTCTCAATTAACAGGCAAGTTTTTTCAGAGAACTATGTGACTTGTATCGGGGCTAGAAACCGCTCTCCCTTGGAGTGATGAGACCCACAAAAGGGAGAGGCTCTGCTGTCTGTGAGTACCACCTTTTACATCTACAAGAAGCACAATGAATAAGGCTCCATCAAAGATGTTCCTTGTCACATCCTGGACTACCAAACACACCAACACTCCCAGATACTTAAAGGAAATCCAGTGATTGTTCTTCAGTCTTTGCATTTTCAAACTCTGCTTTGGGGATCCAAACTTTCACCATCAAAACATAAACCGGTGAAACCCTGACTCAGAACCCGATCTAGGTCTGCTTCCTAGCATTCAGAAGTGGTTTCGTTTCCTTCGGGGCCCCACCCTTCTCAGGCTCTGATTTCCCACCCTTCCTTTGAGGTAGGGAAGGTTTGGCAGAAATAATTGTTCTTTCTGGAATGGATTTTCAGTCTCTCAACACCTTCAGGAAAATGGCAGGGACAGACAGGGTGGACTACCTTTCAAAGCACCAGGAGAAATGGTGAAGGCAAAGAAACATGTCAGAGATGCACCGATGTAAACTGAACATGAGGCCAGAAGCCTTTTGTTTTAAAATAAAGACCAACCCTGCTTGCCAAACAGGCAGCAAGGTCCTTCCTCGTCATCGTCCACTTCCTCTACACCCTGCCTCCGTCCTACCCACACCAACTGCTTCCCCATCACTGGGTGGGAAAAGCTTGCTGCCTACAAGCTCAGACTGCTGATTTTAGGGCTGGGGCCGGGGAGGGGGTGGTCATAAGCATGGAGTCCCAAGTCTGTTGAACCTCAACTCACATACAGGGCAGCATGCGCGAGTGGGGAGGGGCTTTATTTCTTTTGAGAGAGCAAGTGTGAAGGGCTTTCAGCAACAATACTAGCTCAAGAAAATCCCACACTTCAACCTGAAGAAGCCCGAACCCATAATTGTGCCAAAGTTTGGCAGAGTCCTAAACTGGATGAGAATTACAATTCTGTGAAGATGCTCGCCCCCGCCCCCATTACAAGTATATAACTTTGGCCACTAACAGGCTCACTGGATGTACAGGAAGCCTGGCTTCACTCCAAAGAGCTGCATCTTAGACGGACACCAGAAGCGTCACTTCAACAAGTGTCCAGGGAATCCTTACGTGGGGAAGGTGGGTGCTGCAGGTGCCTCATCAGGCTCTGGGCGCTCCGGTGAGAGGGTCCCACATTCCCTCACGCCGTGGAGCTTAGTGTCAGTGATTGTGCCCACGCGAGCCCCTTCTCCCCAAGGCCCCTGTGTGCCAGCCACACGACCCGGGAGGGGAACTCGCTCAGCTAGGCGGAGGCTCGGGGGCTGAGGCTGGAGCTGGGAGGTGACAGCTTGGCTCCCTGAGCCAAAAGTGAAGCAACTCGGGAAAGTTCCCGGAGCTGCCCCGGCTTCCTGAAGCCGCCCCCCCCCCCATGCCCCACACTCCCCGGCCGCAGCACGGACCTGAGATGGTCTCTTGGTATCCCTTGGTGAAGAACTGCATGGCGGTGGCCGCTCGCCAGGGCGTCTTGAGCAGCCCCTGCCGCTGGGGGTCCTCGCCCAGCGAGCGCAGGATGGATGAGTAGGCGGCCGCCAGGTTAGGGAGGTTCAGCTCGTTGTCCTCCTCGCTGCGGGGCCGCCCTGCCTTCCAGGCGTCGGCCGGCTGTGAGTTCTTGGCCTCCGGCGCCCGGGACTTCTCGGCTGGCCGGCTGGCCCCGGGCCGCGACAGCTGCCGCTCGGGGAACCCATTGGTGCACCTGGGTCCCCTCGGCTTCTCCGCCGGCAGCGGGCCCTTCTCCATGGACCCGGCGAGACTGCTCCCGAGACACCCAGGGGTGCTGCAAGCGCTGCGGCTCGGCTTCGCCGGCGGCCGTGACCTGTGGCTGTCACCGGGACAGGGGGTCAGCCTGGAGAGGTTCTCTGGGAGTGAAGGGTAGCGGCCAGCTGGGGAGCCCCGCCGCGCCTCTTTTTATGGCGGGGCGACTCAGCCGGCGCCGCGGGCCCTTCTCATTGGTCCGAGCCTCTTGCGTCACGGCGCTTCCCCGCCCCTTCTCCCCGCCCTCCTAGTTGGCCCCCAAGTCCCGCGGTTGCAAAAGACCAGGTTGGAACCCCTGGGCTTACCAAGGGAAGAACTGAGTCAGCAAAGCGACAGGAGTCCAGGGAGCTGGAACCTCGATAAATAGAAACACCCGGTCCACCTCACTTTCGAAGGGCAAAGGAGGCGTGGTCGCAAAAATGTTGTGGTCTGGTTACCCTGTGAAAGATGACTTAACAGGTGACCTTGCTGAGGTAGGCAGGGTAGATCAAATTAGCTGGTGATAAACAACTCCAGTACTCTTAAAAAACAAAACAAAAAAAAAAAGTTTTTATGGTTTTGGGTTTTGTTGTTGTTGTTGTTGTTGGTTGTTGTTGTGTGCGTGTGTTACTTTTTAGTTACTTTTTTGAAATTAGAATTAGTTTCATTTCTGCTTTCCCTTTCATCCCTCCCTCCAAACCTTTCTCCATCCTTGCTTTCTTTCAAATTCACAGCCTTTTTCTTTAATAGTTGTTACATCTCTGTGTGTGTGTTCCTAAATATGTAAGTACAACCTGCTTGGTCTGTATATGTCACTTATGTGTATATGTTCTCAGGGCTGACCATTTGGTACTAGAGTGCTCTTCCCTGGGGAAGACTATCCTGGTCTCGGCATCCCTTGGTTGCCTGTTGTGCTTTCTCTAGGGTTAAGGCCTCCTGAAGTCATCCCATTCGCCACCTTCACCCTGTCCTTGTTCACAAGTCTATTGGTATCATCCTTTTTAGCTGTCTGGCCTGGAATTCACTATACAGACCACCAGGGAGGCCTTTAATTCACAGTGATCTGCCTGTCTCAGACTTCTGAGTGCTGGCATTAAGGACACATGCCCAGCCTCTCTCATGCTTTAGGCTAGAGAAGTTGTTATCTGAAACTTGTTCAATGGTTTAAGGTGAATACAACTGCTGCTCTAGAGAACCCTCTGGCCACTATCAAGGCAAAAGTACAGCACCTAGCACTCCTGGGACTCCCTCTGCCTAGGAAGACATAGTACTTGTGAGCTGCCAGATCTCTACTCCACTGTCTTAACCTCCCCTGACCTTGACTCTCATAATGATTAGGAAAGTTTGTTTTCTTTCATTACCCTGGATCTGGTGATGAGCAAGAGAACTGGGCAGCCAGCTACATCCTCTAGCCTGACAGTGTGTAACACATCAGGGACTGCTCCTTGGCAAACTAAACAGTGACAAGAGCAGACAAGAGGGACTGGAGTGATGGCTCAGCAGTGAAGAACACCTGCTGCTCTTCCAGAAGACCTGAGTTCGGTTCCCACCACATTCATCAGGCATCTCACAACCATCTATAACTCCAGCTCCAGGACATCCAATCCCTCTACCCTCCATGGGCACGAGCAATCACACACAGACACATACACATAATTAAAAATAGTAAAAATAAATCTCTTAAAGAAGAGTAAATGAAGAAGTAGGCATTGATGCCCTTGAGATTTACATGACTGAAAACCTTGTTCTGACCAGCAATTAGGATTCCTTTAGCTGTGAGTCATTTGGCCACAAACCCCCAGATGTGAGAAGGCACTCACTGCTCGAGGATCACCCATCTCCTGCATAAACTGCCTCCCTAACTCAGCTTTTCCAAGGATGTTTCTATAGACCAGGCTGGCCTCGAACTCAGAGATCTTCTGCCTGCCTCTGCATCTCAAGTGTTTGGATTGAAGGTGTGCATCACCACCCTCCAGCCTAAGAGCAAGAGTTCCTTCCTCTTGCCATCAGCTGAATTTACCAGTGCCTCACTTGTTTTTCTACAGATTAGCTTCCTGCATGTGATAAGCCTCCTGCTGGCCAACATTTGTGGTGGCCAGAACTTTGACCCTGGAAAAATTGATTTGCAAGTAAAAAAAGTTAGCATTTTCATGTAAAACACATTTGTGTCTTGTGGGGAAATAGGTTGATCAATTTTAAGTACAAAGATCCATTCCTCCTCCCCCCCCCCTTGCCCCCGCATGTGGGTACAAACTAAAATGTTATTGATCAACTAGGCCTCCTCTTCCTCCTCCTCTTGCTCCTCCTTCTTTCTCCTTCTGACATAAGATTTTTCTATGTGGCCCTGGCTGTCCTGAAACTCACCCTGTAGACTAAGCTAGGCTCGAACTGAGAGATCTACCTGCCTCCCAAGTACTGGAACTAAAGGCATGTACCACCACTACTGAACTTACATGGACTCTTAACCAGTAACATATGCTTTGATCGGATTGTTTTCTTTGAGATTGGAAAAAAATACGATAGCTTTGCTCAGTAGAGGGATTATGTCATAATTCCAAAGGTGAATTTTATCAGGCAATCAAATTAGTATCTTATTTGTTTCGGAGAGTAACTTATGCTAACTCTCTGACTTATACACATTAGTAAGCATAAGACTGGACCATGCAGAAGATAAGCCTCTGGACTTGTCCTGTGCTGATAAAGTCTATTACTGTAGATTATAATTCATATTTATTGGACATCTATTAAAAAAACCATTCAGGAAAGAAAATGAACATTCCTTAATCTCAGAGTCACTCTCTGAGGTGAACAGGAGAAATGAGGTTGGAGTTATAGCTCAGTTGATAGAGTGCCTTGCTGGCACATAAAAAGCCCAGGTGTCTACCCCCAGAACTACATAAATCAGACATGCTGGCACAAGCCTATCACCCCGGTACTGGGGAATGGAGGACATTGGATCAAGAGTTCAAGATCATCTTCTGCTATCTGGAGATTTGGAGAGTAGCCTTTGTTAAATGAGATCCTGTCTAAATAAAGAAACAAACCAGAAGACATGTAAAGCACTTGCCTAGCACTTTCAGCCTAGATTCCATCCTGAATACTGCCAAAAAAAAATGTTTTTGTTTTATGTTTGTTTGTTTGTGTTTATGTGTGTGTAAATATAAGAAATATGCATATCAGAGGAGTTTTAAAGATAATTATTAAATTCATATATATATATATATGTATATATATATATTAGCCAACTACATACATCAAGCTGGAGTCAACATTTAAAAAGTAGCTTACACCATGACAGCACCCCTTACCAGCAGGAAGTGGTTTGGAAAGAATGACGCCCAAATTCCCAAATATTGTTTATAAATGTTTGTTTTCATTTAAATGGACTTGGTTATAAAAAATAAAAAAAAAGTAGCTTACATGTTCAACAAGTAAAAATAAACATACCACAGGAAGTGTGTGTGTGTGTGTGTGTTCTCAAACACGGATTTTATATTCAGGTGAACATGCATGCATTCATGGAGAAGAGAAAACATCAGAGAACTTTCTATCTTCATCCTGTCTTTTGGAAACTGAGTCTCTCCCTGAAGCTAGAGCTCACGATTGGAGTAGTCTAGCTGGCCAGAGAATCCAGAGACCCTCCTGTCTTCATTCTCTTTAGTCTGGGACTGCAGGTATGCACTCTCACACCTGACTGTTTATATGAGCACTGGGGAGCTGAACTCCAATCCTCATGCTTGCACAGCAAAACTTTACCAAACACTGAGACTTCCTCTCAGCCCTGGGGAGATAGATACTTTTTAAGTGGAGGAAGTAAATAGAGATGCTTGTAATTAAAAATAATCTTTGAGGCAAAAATCTTGTGTCTTCCTTTAAAAAAATTTTTTGTAAACATTAACTAATAGCTTATTATTAAAGAGAGTTCCTGCTGAATTTGTTTTTTCTGAGTTTCTCTGTATTGCTTTGGAACCAGCTCTGTAGACTAGGCTGGCCTTGAACTCACAGGGCTCCACCTGCCTCTGCAGGGATTAAAGACTTTCACCTACTGAAATTTTTATACTAAAATTTAACTTTTCTTTTTTGATGCCACTGAATCATCAACTGTTTTGTCACTAATTGCCAGCACAGAGCCAAGGCAGTGAAGCCTAGGGGAACCTGAGTGAACCTCTGGTTTCTCTTGCTTTCAGAGGCCAGGTAGTTAAGCAGCACATGGCCACTAGGCTGGCATGGAGAGCAGCTCTGCTATGGTTTGCATATGAAATATCCCCACTGGCTCCTGCGCTGAATGCTTAGTGCCCAGCAGGTGGCACTGTACAGAGAGGTGGCAGGAACTTCAGGGCTTGAAGCAAGCCTGAGGAAGTGGGTCACTCACTCTGCCTGTCTTTGATCCATTATATCTTGTCCCAGGAGTTTCTACATCTTTCTCTTCTGCTGCTTCCTGTCAGCCATGACCTGAAAAATGCCACATGCTACACACTCCTGGGTATCCTACTCAAGTGATTGAAGAAACAGTGGACAAAAGAAACAGTTCTTGACTCCAAGGAACACAAGAGATTTATTCTAGAGCCAAATATGAAAGACCACAGCCTGGAAACACAGATGTAGGTGTTCCCCCAATATGTTTTAGTGAAGTAGCAATATAATGAAGTTTTTTATACAAACTGAATGAAGAAGGTCATAAGTCAACTCATTTGTAAAATGCTTTGATGGGTGCACCCCACATCAGGCAGATTTTAGTATACTTGCCTATACTCCTCAAATACTATCTGACCATTTCTTATTCCTTTGGTTGGTGAGAAGAAACTAGTGATGCTTGTGAACATTTCAAAGGATGTACTTGTCATAGGGTTTCTATTACTGTGAATAGACACCATGACCACAGCAATTCTTATAAAGGAAAACATTTAATTGGGTGGCTTATATTTCCAGAGGTTCATTATCATCATGGTGTGACATGGCGGTGTCCAGGCAGACATGGTGCTGGAGAAGTAGCTGAGAGTCCTACATCTTCACTTGCAGGCAACAGAAAGGGGTCTGCCTTACTGGGAGTAGCTTGAGCATAGAAGACCTCAAAGCCCACCCCCATAGTGACACACTTCTTTCAACAAGGCCACACTTACTCCAACAAAGCCACACCTCCTAATAGTGCCATTCCCTTTGGGCTCTTTTTCTTGTAAAAAGTACCTAACA